ATGGCACCCAATTATGGTTAACACTCTTCGATATATTCCTCTTGAGATCGGTGTCGTCTTCGGGTGACTCTTCATTCGTGTAATTAACGTATTTAACGGCCGATTCGTTGAGTAATGTCTGGTTTTCTTGACGTCCCGGAGGTTTCTTCAAGAAATACATGAACGGAGCGAATAGAAAGCAGGCGAGCGCTGCCGTTGTGCACAGACCACTGAACCCAAACCATCGCACTGTATTGGTCACATTACCACACATTCAGTCACTAATCAAAACCATATGTCTTAAGGGTTTATAATATAATATGAGACCTAATGTTCCGGAGAGTGCGGGTCCGATGGCAAAGCCCAGACAAAACGCCACGTCTCCGATTGCATACACACTACCTATAAGTCAATTGTAATTCAATCTCATATTATAATCAATTATTGTTTATATTATAATTAATATAATTGCGGATTAGACCGGTATAAGCGATAGTGTTTACCGTATATTGATGTGTGTCTTATGTCAACTAAATAACCTAAATATGGTATTAGTTTTCGATTAGTAATACTATGAATGCATAGTTTAGTTGTCAAGAAGTTTAATTGCATGTGTCTGTCATACCGAGCATTGGCATCATAGAGCTGTCCACCATTCCTATGCAATTACATTAATGTCTGTTTTTAGTTGCTTTCATTCATTTTACAATCAATATATCATAAATGAATAGTTTTTAATTGAAAATAAAACCAATTAATCATATAATTCATACCAATTGCAAAGCCAATCATTCCGTTGGGAATAATCAATTGGTTTAGACTCGATATCATTGGTATCTAAAACTCATTTGAAAATAAAAAATTGTTTCACAAAAGAAGATAAATCAATGATTGCCGTCAAATGCATTGTCGTTAAGACACGTACATATAATAATGCCAATCCAATTACGATTAAACCCACCATTGATGCCAACCATCTATTCATATATCAAATTGTTTTGTATTTTTAAAAACGATTGATTTTGAATAAAATAAGTTCAGGATTTGCTTTAATACCGTCCCATACGATGACCCAAAGGGCCAAATATATTGGTTCCGATGAGATATGAGATGGACGCGGGCAGGAACGCTGCCCCCTGTTCCCAATTGGTCGACTTCATTGTGTCCATCATAAACAATGGCAACGATGGCTCGAGCACTGCTATGCCTAAGTTGGCAAAAGTGATGGCACCGGCAGCTATCAGAATATACGGATCTTTGATCAGGGTGATTAATGAAGCACCCTCCTCCTGCTCTTTGGACACTTTGGGTTGCAATACAAGTAATTGCAAGCCTTCACACCATATATGCATTATTTGAATAGAAATATTGATTAATAATAAGCGAAAATAATATCCTATATTTGTATGAAAATGTGATGCAAACTCACATCCATCTAATAGTGCCAGAAGTGCTAAAACAACAAACGGTGAACTTTTACCGACGAACTCATACATTACGCCCCCAAATGGTGGGCCAATTAGTACACCTAATGCCAATCCTCCCAAAGCTATTGCCATACTATTGCCTTTTCAAATAAAACATAAATTTAAATATTAAAATTAAAACACAATTTTAATATTTATTCAAATAAATGTAGGAATTGTTTAAAAATAGCCATGTTAGATTTGAAATTCAAAGTTAGTAGTAATAAAAGTTAATCATAAACTTCAAAATCAACATTTATAAAATTTAAGTAATTGTATTTACTAAACTTTTATGAAAATATTTAAAATTTAAACTTCCATTTAAACCCTAAAAATGCAAATTTAAATTGAATTCATATTTTATATTTATTTATAGCTCTTTTAAATTATTTTTGTATCTCTAAAATAATATTCAGATTTTTAAAAAGAAATTAAAAATATATGCATTTGTTTTCGATTTGGTTATTAAATGAATTTGGTTTTTGGCAGATAGTAATAAGAAAAATAATTTATTTAGTTTATGCATTAACTGTAATGATTGATATTAATATAAACACAAATTGCATTAAATATTCAATTGGATGTCCATAACGTGTTAATGACCTGAATCTAAGCTAAACGTATAATAAAACCTAATAAATACTAATTTGAAATACTGTATTGGATTTGACTATTAATTGTTTGAATATTTACTGAAACTAATTCGGATTTTATTAATAATATTTCCAAAAGACCTCAATAAATAGTATAATATTAATATATTTTCAACTAATAAAACAATGCTTGAATTACAAAACACAATCGTTATATAAATTTAAAAGTAATTTAGTGTAATATAAAAGAAACTTTTGACTCGTATTTCGGTTCAAAAGCTCTTTTATTATTGTTCTAAATCTATAAATCGTGTCGCTATTCATGTCATCTAAATCTTCTGTATTCATCAAATTTGATCAATATTTTAGGCCAAAACTTCACTTCTATTCTTAACCATATTTTTATTTTATTTAATTATAAAATCGCTTAAAAACTAATTCTGTATTCGAGATGAAAACAAAGTAATATAAAGTAAGACGTGATCTCTAATATGGCCTAAAATTACTATTGTTTGACATATAATTTTAGTGATAAGTTAAGTAATCAAATGTAAAATATTTAGTTTAATATAATATAATAAAAGAGAAAGACCTCTTTCCCGGTCATCGGGATATATTTCGGCTAACATTCCCATTCCGGCCACACTTGTGAACGCAGATCCGATGCCTTGCATAGAGCGCGCCAGGAATAGGGTTGGAAAGGTTGAGCCGATTGCAAATACTATTATCAAACACATTAGTCAATTATCACATCACATATTGATTATAGTACTATAAATTTACATAATCAGTCACTCAGTTCTTACGGATTGAAATCATCTTTTATTGTTATTTTAACATCAAAACTATAAGCTCAACAATTGTCTAATTTATGCATTTAATCATATTTTCTCATAAATATATTCTATGTTCTCACGGCATAGAAATTGAATTTAGAGAATAATAGCATTGAGTGATTGATTAATAAACACCGACAGATTGGCGAGAATTTTGGGAGTTGGAGAGAGAGAGAGAGAGAGAGAGAGAGAGAGAGAGAGAGAGAGAGAGAGAGNGAGAGAGAGAGAGAGAGAGAGAGAGAGAGAGCACATACTCATTGTAGAAAAAAATAGAAGAATGAGTCCAAAAAATAGTGGCCAACTGTAACCTATTCTGTAGAGAAAAGATTGCGATTATTTCTTAAACACTATTTTTAAAAACTCACATTTGATTGATTTCTAAAAGATAAAGAATTGGACACATTTAGTAAAGCAAACATGTGTTGGATTAGAAGGTTATCATAACATAACAGTGATATTTGAACAAAACTAGAGTTGTGGCCATTTTCTAATGCTTTCATGATCTTTGATTTATCTTTATAAAACTTTATGGCCTTTAGAGCTCTAGAAAACACCAACAAATATATTTGATTCCTCTTTCACTCTGTAAATTAAATTAAAGATCACTTCAATGTTTTATCTAACCTTTATATTCACTTAAAATTATTAATAACTTTTCTAAACAACACTTAATCTCAAAAGTCTATTGTATTTTTATAACACTGAAGAAAACCATTTGAGCGCATAATTATTGTCATTAATTTACTATAAACGTTCTCAACGTTTATTTTAATGCTAAATGTAATGTTTAAATATGAAAATATATGTAATTATAATAAAATGGTTAGAGACTAACTTGTTGGTGAGCGGACCCACAAAAGGGTTGGTTATGGCCTGAACTATAGGCTTCGATGCAAACATAATGCCGACCTCAAAGTTCTCGTTAACTAACTCTTCGTGTCTGAGAGCGTCTTCTGGTGAGGCAGGGGTTGTGGTCGGAGGCTCTGCTGTCGTCAGCGGTTCAGCCGTTGTCGACAACTCTTCCTTTCATATTTCAGTTATTATTTGATTAAATGATATGAAATAAAAAATAAACGATTTTCAGCTTATGTTGTATTAGATTTTTGAAAACTCAGAGAATTTGATTATATGTAATATTTTGAAAAGTTTTAAAATAAGTATATTATTTTGATAAATAACTTATGTTTTACTTCATCTTTGTTGCATTTTTCATCCCTATTTGTCGACTGCTGCCTACTTTTTGCTGACGGTATAAATGGTAACAGATTTGCTGTTTCCCGAAGACGTGCGTCCAGTTGTCTATTATAAGACTGTGCTGGGGATGGACTCGATGTGCGTAATGTCTCATTCAAGATAACCATATCCTTTTGGTGGTGCAGTTCATATAGAAATGCCGGTATAATCGGCACTGATTTGGTTCATAAAAAACAAATTACAGCAAAATATTCAATTTATAGTACAGTACTGTATATGAAAATTGTGGATCAATACACGAATATTGAGGAATTTGATAACTGTATGCAATGTTTGATTTTTCGCACTTGAATTTGTTTGGTTCCAATCCATTAGTAAAACAATCTTAATTATTGCCAGAATGACAGTGAATGCTATCTAATTCTGTTACTGTTATTTCGTTACCAAAATTAATTTCATTGCTTAAATTGATTCTATTGTTTTGTCAACGCATTCATAAATATTATTATATAAAGGTATTTATTCATACAGGTATTATTAATTATTAGCTTTAATACCGTATTAAATTCTATTCAAATAGATACAATGTATATTAATTGTATATTAATTTATGTTTACAGCACTATTTTTTATTGAAATTGTTTCAACCAATATTGTAAATAATTATTAATGACTACTTTAGTTGATTAATAATAATTTATAAATGAGCTTTCTGAATAATTATTTGTACATGTGTCTCAATAGTCTTATGAGTAATTGCTGACAATTTGTGTGTTATTTTTGGATTTCTTTTGACATCAAAATAAAAATAATATTTATTCGCAATAATTTGCAAAAATCATAAAATTATATACAATTTCATTCACCTCTTCTTCAATTCATCCCTAACTTTATTTAACATTTTATTTAAAAATAGGTCAAAATTATGATTATATATTTGCGATTAAAATTGTATCTAAATTGTAGTTATTTAATAATATACAATTTCATTCACCTCTTCTTCAATTCATCCCTAACTTTATTTAACATTTTATTTAAAAATAGGTCAAAATTATGATTATATATTTGCGATTAAAATTGTATCTAAATTGTAGTTATTTAATATTAGACAATATATTTATTGGCATTAATAACAGATATATTGCAAATATTTTTCTATAATCATAAATTCATGTATAAGTAACTAGTTTATTTTATAAAATAATTGGTCAAGGTGATTTATCAATATCAATAGTAACTTAAATAAATAGTTTATTTTTAAAAACTCGTCGATTATTTTACAATAATTTGTTAGTAATTTATAATCAGTTTGACATAAATTTTTCCATTAAATACTTTTCACAATTAGTTACAAAATTTCTTTCAAAATATACAGATCTTAACTTAATATTAATTGTTTGAATAAAATTTTTATGTTAATTTCATGTCAAAAGTTTTTGGCATTTATAGTATTCAATAGATCTGTTAAAAAGTTATTTTTATGTTTTATTATATGAAATGAATTGTAAAATGAATACACTTAGACCTCCATAAGTCTAACCCTCTATAACTGATTAAATTCGACATTAGACTCACATAGACATCCCATTATAAAAAATCTCTAAAACTAGTGTTCCTAGGTCAAAAAATCAAAATAAACGTCAATTTTTACTTGGGCTTTCTTGAGATTGTCCATTAATTTAAATAAGGCTGCTTCTTTTTATTATATTTACTTATATTTTTAATAATATATGGTTTAGAAATGTGAAATTAATATAAAATAAGAATAAGGTGTCATTATTTAGTTAGTCAACCTTTATAACTCAAACTTTTTACATATTTCTATGTGTATTAATATTCTATAAGTCAAACCCTGTACAAACTTTTAAAGTATACTTATTATAAAGTAGGTATAAGTGAAACAAACATTTTGTTCCCACGAGTTCAACTTATGGGTTATAGTGTATAGAATAGGAAAGAATCATAAATGTTATATATCTTACCGACACTCGTGAGTAACATGTTGTCCAGAAGTAGACCAATCGCTACAATCAACAGAACCAGACGTCGAGAGCCTTTGCATTGAATCATTAAATCGTAAACCTTTTTCTCAACGCCAGCGGCTATACTATCCGTGTTTGTCATCTTGTCTTAACTTACAAAGAGTTAACTCACGTCACGAACTCTCACACAACCAATGCATTCAACAATTGTCTTCAAAGAATATTCTATATCTTCGCGGAATGCAATGCAATCCAATGCAATCCAATGCACACAACTCTACAGTTCTGTACATTCATAGCAATGCATGCAATCGAAAGGCGACGTCTGTTGGCGTGAAGTGAAGCAAAAAGTTTTGCCACAAGTTGTGAGCAGACGTGCCTCACATGGGAAGCAATGTTCACACTTTTATTGACCGCCTGTGACGGCAACTGCGAGACGTGACCCCCATTTCCATCTATGAGCTGAATGTGAGACTAAGTGGTGCTCAAGTGGTGTAAGGGTTGGACGTAATGTGTGTGCAGACTGTGGTGTGAATGCATTTGTGAGTGCATTAAATGCGAAGTCATTTTGAATTCAGCGACCAATGGGTTCAGTATTTACAGTGCATTTGCAATGCATTGCTCTTACAGTACACTCTATGCAGTCTATAGTACTCTATGTATGAGTAGTGAGTGTTAAGAGAAAAACGTTTTGTTAATACAAAAGACTTAACATTACATATAAATTGTGTTTACAATCCAAACAATTTATTAATCGCTATTCAATTAACACTCATTTTGTCACTCATTCGCTGTTTTACTATTGAAACTCACAATTCATTTTGATTTGTAAACAATTGGAGACAATTTGACGATTACTACGAAAAACAGACACAAAAATGGGTGAATGTATGCGAAATTGTATTGCATTTTCAATTGCATTGTTTTGACTCACAATTTGAGACAATTTATTGATTTAATGAAATGATTGTTTGCCAAACATATGGATGACATGTTTGGCCTCTTTTTGCATTTTCTATTCAATCTATTTGTTGACAATTGTATCCGTTTTTTGATGATTTGACTCATTTTCTCGACACAATGTTTGCTTTGATTGCAAACAATTGACTCAATATTTAATGAACTCATTTATTGTCTTATCTTCTCCTCTATGACCACAGAATACCTTAAGACAATTGATCACTAGTTGGCAACCAATTAGTTGTGGTAAACATGAAGATCGACAGAACCAAATCCAAGAAGAGTTCTTCCGAAGTGGTATTGAATGAGTTTTATAATTAAATCTAATTTTAGCCGATAATTGAATTGACAACTAATTGTCTTGTAGATCGACAGAACCAAATCCAAGAAGAGTTCTTCCGAAGTGGTATTCAATGAGTTTTATAATTAAATCTAATTTTAGCCGATAATTGAATTGACAACTAATTGTCTTGTTTTTAATGTGTGTCCAAAAGCCGGCCGATTGTAAATCACTGATCGATAAGTTGAAGGCCTGTAATGAAAATGAATTACTGGAAGAACTCAAGAATATTAAGTCTTGGAATTGTGGAAAAGTATGTCTATAACTATTTGTCACTCATTTAATTGTGTTATAATATGTGTTGAATATTAGTGTGAACTCTACCACTGGATCGATGTTCTCGACATCTTTGACTCCATTCTCGAGTCCTGTTGCCTACGGGTCGACGAAAACCAGTGGTCACTGCCTGTCGACGAACCCAATAATGAAAAGGTTTGCAATTCAATGGCATTCACTCGATATAAGTTTTTTACATTTTATACAATTATAACTTAATTTGTACAGAAAAAAGAGCTTTTAATGAATATCATAATGTTTACCGCTCTCCTCATCGAACACTCCTTCTCCAGACATCTCTACAATTCAATGGAGGTTTGCATTGAATTGTGTTTACAATTGAGTTTTGGCTATACTTATAAGTTTTGTATCTTTTTTGCAGTATTTAATAACTCTATTGTCATCGCGAGACATGCAGGTCGTACTCGCGGTACTCAACCTGTTGTATGTCTTTAGCAAAAGATCCAATTTTATATCGAGAATTAATACCGAAAAACGACAGGCATTGCTCACACGGCTTACATATCTGGCAGAGGTATGACTTGAATTGTTCTCTCAAAGTGTATATTACATGGCATTTAGATTGGCTGTTGTCACACATCTGTCTGTGCGATGATAGCGATAAATAATGCCATAAATTGAGTGCAGAGTTTGGCACAATAGTAGAGATAATTATATCTTACTGTCGACTTACACTTACTCTGACAATGATTTGACTAATCTATGGATTATTTGTAATAGAATTGGGGCGGAAAAGAGAATGGCTTTGGTTTAGCCGAATGTTGTCAGGACTTAGCCATGTCTTCATTTCCAGTGAGTGCCACAACTCTTCACTTCGAGTACTTCAGTGAAGACACGACCAATAAGAAGCCGAACGCATTGAATGTGATTCATGTCGATAACATCGACCAAATGGACAAATCATTGGCACAGGTTATGGAAGAGATGATCGAAACATTTAAAGTTCCGACCGATAAACAGATGC